CAATATACTCATCCATAATTTAGCATATGTACGTCGAAAGCTATCAGATAATGTCTACAATAAATAGTTAATTAAAAAAAAAATAACAGGTACACATTTAATTACTTAAATTCAACACTTACKGCATAAAGTCCATGGTCTAAAAGTATTAAATTCAACTGGCCATTTTCATCTTTGTTTACCAACAAATTACCAGGATGAGGATCACTATGTACAAATCCATTTTTGAATATCATTTCACTATATAAGCTTCCTAATTTGTCAGATATTTCATCCACTTTCAATCTAAATTTATGTGATTATGTATTTCAATTATTTTATAAATAACTAATTAAATTTTAATGCAGTTATGTACACGGTTAAATACTTACTTATTCCGATTAATGTAATCAAGATCATTAATTTGTCCACCTTCAAAAAATTCCAAGGTTAAAACTCTGGAAGAACTATACTCGTCATATATTTTGGGTATCTAGAAATTAACAAAAAAAAAATTATATTTTAATATTATTTTTAAAATAATTTTGGATGGGTTATTTAATATATTTAGATTAGGTTACAGTTTGTAGTATAGGTTACATAAATGTGGAATTGAATACACTCGCTTATAAAAAAATACCTTTAGCCACTTCAAGTGTTTGAACATTGATCTAATAGTTTCAGTGTTCTGTGCTTCAATAGTAAAATCTAATTCTTTTGGTATATTCTGTTTTGTTTGATTCACAAGCCATTGAAATTTGAAATCAGGAAAAATGTAAGAACCGATGTTCACTAAAGTCTACAATAATGTAATTTACATTGTTACTTATTTAAAACATGATCTTATGATGGATATATTAACATAATATTTTAGGRATAATATTTGTATCAATAGATTTGTCTCCAAATCATCTGCGTTTGGCAATGAGCAACTGAATAAGCATACCTAGGGGGGTTAGTGGTTAGTCTTGAAGAAGTTAATAAATCAGTTCTCGGCACAGTATAATATTTCCCTGCAATAACAACTAATAAGTACCATATAGCTAGTGCAAGTTAACATATGCACTGCCAGAAAAATCATAATAAATACATAATATTATCAACACTTCTCCCCCACCGGTGACCAACAATGCCATGATATATTTTTTATATATAGTTACAGAACTTTCAAATAAAAATATTTAATATTAACATATTGTTGTTTACAATAATATTGATAGAAGTACAAAGACAATAATTAATAACTAATATTTCTTAGTTAGACCTGAATAAAAAATACTAAAAAAATGTTCCTAAAAATCCTTAAAATATGTCAACATTTTAACAATATGCTTTTTGTAATAATTATTAAACATAAGTAATAACTGAAGTCTGAAATAAAAAGTTAAGCTTTAACCTTGAACAATACATAGAACCTTAACTTTATACATTGAATATGTATGCTGTAATGCATTTAAGACTAAGTGGTTTTATAATAAATATAGCAAAATAGTACCAGCTGAATATTCAAATAAAATTATTATATTGTGCTCTTCTATATCCAACACTGAAAGATGATTGTGTTGTGTAGAATCCCTAAACAGCCAGCAAATCAAACAAGGAGAGTCCAAAGTTAAATTTTTAAATTTTGCTGGTTTTGTGGTAAATATTTCCTGTCCACAGTAACGGATTTAGCGGTTTAGTGCTAATAGACTTAACCACTATGGTGTCCCCAAGTAGGGTTTGTTAAAAGGTAAAACTGATTCTTTTGAGCTTATTTTGTAAATCTATTTTAAATACCTAAGTATTTAACCCATTTTAATGCTGCTTGTTACAATTTTATGTTCAATAAGTTAACACTAATTATTTAGCGAATGAGTCGCTGAAAAGACTGATGACAAATGCCAATGTTGATCCAGATTTTAAAATTAAGTTTTTCGTTTATGATTAATCTAATAACTAAGTTTCAAAATTCATATTTTATCAATGTTCATTTAGTTACTAATAAATAAGGCACTATATTGTTAATTTAATTAAAGACAAATTGTTCATACTTATGTTCAAAAAGGCCTAGTTTGTTAAAATAAAATACAAATTTAAAAATTATAAGTATTTGTGGCAGTGCAAAATAGTAAGTATCCATAACTTTTGTAATAATGTTTTTATTCTTAAGTATGCAAAATAAATTTGCCACTTATTTATATTGCCAACACATAAGTAGGTTACCTCAATTGTAGCAATATCTATTTTGGCATCTCCTCGAACATATGAGTGCTGCACTTTAATAGCAACATTTTTACCTGTTGATCGTAATTTTGCTTTATGTACTTGAGCCAATGATGCTGCACCCAGTGGTTTTGGATCTATTTCACTGAATAATTGATCAACCTTTAATTATAAATAASATCAACTAGTTAACACTATATATTTTATCTATACATTAAATAWATACTATATAGTACATACTATATTACAATGTTTCAAACTTAGGGATCTATTTGAGGTTGTAAATAATTTTGAATAGGTCATCAAATAATTTCAATTCCAATTTTTCATTTAAGAACAATTTTGTTCTGAAGATTTGTGAGAACAGAATATAATTATTATTCCTAAGAAAATAATTTTAAACAATAACAAAATGTAATAAATTATAATACTCAATGGTTTTAACTCATAACTCTAACCTACAAAAATTTAAGATATATATATTGTTATTTTTTTTCATACACCAAACCTACAATTGATACATAAAATCAAATTTTAATATATATTTTAACAGCAAGTTTAAAAAAAGCGAAAAATGTTTATACAATGATTAAATAATAAGGATTTATTCCTAATAACTTTAATAAAAATTATAATTTTCATAAAAATGCATAATAAAAACAAAATTTTTTAATACGAAACAACCCTCCTAAATTCAAATCTCTTATTTTGTGTAACGGACTGCTGATAGAATTTATTACAATTATCATATTATTATTACAATGAATGTAAAGGTAAAAAAACAATGCTGTATCATAATACATGTACATAGTATTATAAAATGTGCAAACACAAACATATTAAACAATACTTATCCTTACATCTTGTTTAAGTTCCTCTTTGATTATTTTGTAAATTTCTTTTAAGGGTGTAATGGGAGCTTGACTGTGCAAAACCTTTAATGTGTCTGTGTATTCTTTAGGGAAAAGATTTTCTAATGCCCCAATGTGTTGTCCAATCTTAATATAAACACCTTTGTTTGTGCGACATAGATCTAGCAACAATTCAGCAGCTTTCTTATGAGACTAGACAAAATGTATAAATTATTACAAATACTATAATAAAACAAAAATTAAATAAGAATTAAATATACTTTTGATCTTATATCTTGATAATTTGGTAAGGATTTGTCAACTGATGGTGCATACAAAGTAGTCTTGTAATGATACATCATATGTAACCCCTATAAAAAATKAATTTGGTTATGCAATTTAATGATTTATACATTTGTGTTCATAAATTACTGATAAAAATTAAGACTTACAGTAGTGGCGGCTCGACTAAATCGAACGATACCGACTGAATCAATATTAAAATCATTGTCATAAAAAGAGTAAGCTGTTGCTGCAGTACCACTCAGAATACCTAATCCAATTGCTCTACCTAACATCTTAACAAAGAATCACGCAAAACTGACATTAATTTAACTTTTCTGAAAACATCTTAATCAACTTATATTACATAACTATAAACTTATTAACTGAGATCGGTCATAAATAATAATTTAATTGGTAAGGATTAAAAAATAYAACTTATCAGAGAAACGTTCCTAATGATTAATGACTTATTTGGATAACATATTTAAATATTATCACAGAATAGATTAAATTTAATATATTCTGTGATATAATATCTGTGACCACGGTCTTAGAAGATTCTAAAGATCTTCTAGATCTACTAGATCCTCAAAACAGTCAAAACCGTGTCTGTGACCGTACTAATTCTTATTTCTTAATATTTATATGGTTATATATTATCATGGTTTATTCGATAACGCGCAACACACACTTATTGACACTTCAATACTAAAATATAATAATATAGAGTGTGTGACGTAAAACGAGCTATTGACACTATTGTGACTACAATATCACTATAATACAGTTATTCAACATCAACAGAAAAAAGCATAATAATCACCATGACGTTATATTTTAATCGCAGGTAAACGACGCGGGAAATAGGATTTGTGCAAACTTTTAGACATAGGGCCAGTAAGTTGTTAAGTTGTACCTAACCTAACCGTGCAAATTCGGCCGATTAAACTCCGGTTAACTTTAATCAGAGAATATGGTACAATTACTAGCCTATAGACATATTAATATGTCTATGCTTTTATCGATGGGAATCTAGAATTAAGTCATTAAGATGTATCATAATTCGTGGTTGGCACATAGGCCTTATACTAGGTATATATTTATATATATAAGTACAAGGTCAACGGGTTGGCACGAGTCTTCTTTTTGTTCTTATCAGGTTCACTGTTATCAGTTATTATCAAGGTCGGGAAAACTGTTCTTTTCAATATTATACCACAGAATAGATACAATTATACTTCGTGAATTATATTATACTTCCTCTTTCCTGTAAATAACAGTTCTGGGTTCGAGTCTTATGCTTTATTTTTCGTTTTATACGGWTCCACGTGTAAYAAAMTCAAAAATATTGTCCCGATTTATACAGTCCTGAGTGATATTTTCCTAATTTATATCGTTTCTGAAAAATACGATTCCACGTTATTATTTTCCTCAGTTAATTCTGTTTAGCAAAATATCATTCCTTTATTTTACTATTATTTTGAAATATCTTTTCCCAACAAGAAATCTAGTCTGAATAATTATTTTCCTGAAAAGTACGGTTCCATTTTATGAATATTTTCCTCATTTATATGTACTCCCAATCGAGTCTTATGTTTTTAAGTTATATATTAATATTTGGACTTTGGTGTTATAGGTAAAATAACCGACCTCATAGGTAAATCATAATAATTCAATTGTTCAATTGTTCAACTCGTACTCCKCTTCTTCTGCGATCTTCAATATACCACCCTCAAGAACAGGATAAACTATATATATATGTTACGGTAAATGATGTCAAATGGAAATTAACGTTATTCGCCGGTTATTAACGTTATTTACCAAATACACAGGTAATTATCGTTATAAATCGGATAATCACGTTAATGACCAAATACACAGGTAATTGTTGTTATAGACCAAATATGCGGGTAAAACACGATTGCGTACGTTCGTTATCGGCGATACCTTTTTAAGCAACACGATTCCGTACGATTTTACCTGTGCACGATTGCGTACGAAGTTTTAAGCGTTGTTGCCAATTTTCATACCGGTATACAGAGCCCCCACAAGTACAGGGGCCCGAATACTTTAAGGGCCGGTGGGCCCGTTGAATTTTATTTGTAATTTTTGAAATTTTAGTAGAAATACTTATTTTATATTAATTAATATTGTAAAATAACATTTTATGAAATATATATATTATATAGTCATTTAATATTTAA